ACTGCACATATATACTGCATCAGACATATATGTCTGAAGCACTTTGTACCAAACGGTGTGCCACAGCCCTTTCATAGCACCAACAAAGTCAGCGTCACGCAAGCTCAATTCCATTACATTGCAATTGCGGTATCCCTTCTTGGTAGAACATTAGCGAAATTAATACAAATGATCCCTTCTTCATTAAGTATAGAGGTTTATACTTATATTCTTGTCTTTTTGGTATAGTACCACTTATTATAATTTCAAACATATTTTAAACATATGGTTTAAGCACACAATTTCTAATCTATATGTATGTCATTTCATTCTAGAGTGATGCAGCGCAATAATATATTTGTATTATCTCTTATATGTTAAGTAAAAATGAGTTCTAAAATAACAATATACCTGTATCTAGATATTTACAAAGTTATTTCAGAGCTGAAAATATTACCCTGGTGAATCTTCCGGCAGAAGCCTTGCGTGGGCGTGGTGTCCGTGATGATGAACCGGTCTAGCAGCATAGGGCGTACAAGTACGAGATTCTAGGACAACTTTTTAGTCAAGAACAAGACAGCAACGCTATTTTTTCAGTGGTTTGTAGTGGATCTTCTCCATTTGTAATGAGCGGCAGTTACAATATTTAGGCTCTATATGCTATGTGGAAGCCCAAAAGTAGCCGTTAATTCTGATTTGTCTCCGATGACTAAGGAAGGCCCGTAAGTATTACGCAAGATGAAATCTGCATATATATATATATATATATATATATATATATATATATATATATATATATATATATATATATATATAAACGGAATTATACATTAACATTAACACACTTAATATATATATATATATTTATACTCACAACACATGCATCATACATCACACACACACACACATCTATCCATATACTTTAAAACTAGAGACACTAGCGAATCTAGTCTTATTTGGTTGCCAATGGGCGTGCCTCTCCAGCTTTGCGCCACACCCAAAAGGGCAAGTCTCATCACTAGTTTTTATGAGAGCACATGTAGCTGGATCATCTCTGGCAGGGATGATAACTAAGGTTACACTGGTTGTGGGAATCGGCAGATCGAACTTGGCTCTCTAAATCGGCAGGCCAAACTTGGCAGTGGGAATCTAAAAATCGGGTTTGGTTATGGGAATCTGCATATCGGGCTTGGCTGTGTAAATCGGTAAATCGAATGATTTTGGAACAGTCGGTTTGTGCAGCAGTGTGTCACAAAATTGATAATCTGATAACCATATGATATGCCTTATGATTTTGAGAGAAACTGTTGCACAAAATTCTTATTTGTATTTTAACATGCAGTATACGCTCCATTGTCCTTGGTAAGACAAACTGCAACCGGTCACACCAAACACCTAGAAGGCTTAGGTTCTAGACCGTTTACCTGGATAGCACCAAGAGGATTCGAACTTAGAGTATGTGTGATTGTCTACGGTGACATAAGGTGCTAAGGAAGCAGGCAACTGATGAACGCCTAAATCAGCGGGTGCATTATTTGGCAGAGAATGGGTGGGTAAGGGAGATGGTGGTGGACTCTTCAGTCACCCAGAAGAAGGCAAAGGGAAACCACCTTCGCATTATCCACTGTACAAGCATGTAACCAAACATGCCAAACATTAACGACGCAAATGGGGCAATGGAACAGCTGTGAGGTGACGGGTTTCGAAGACATGGTTACCAATGTCAAACCCAGATACAAAATAGCAAGAAGAGTGCAAATATCTTCCTACACTACTGATTAATTTGGAGCCAACTCATTCTCTGCCACGAAACAACTTGCAAATTATTAGTATTAAGTAATACGCGCTCACACACACACACGCACACACACACACACACACACACACACACACACACACACACACACACACACACACACACACACACACACACACACACACACACACACACACACACACACACAAGCAAACACACATACACATACACACATTCACACACACACGCAAATGCACATACACATACATTCATACACACATATATATGTACATACATGCATATCTATGTATGTATATATATATATATGTGTGTGTGTGTGTGTGTGTGTGTGTGTGTGTGTGTGTGTGTGTGTGTGTATGTGTATGAGTGTGTGTGTGTGTGTGTGTGTATCCAGGTCATAGCTGGTCAGGGAGGATTGCTATTTATCCTTATCGATGCGGCATTGTATTACTCCATCTTTCATATGTATATGTATATATATATATATATATATATATATATATATATATATATATATTCATATATATATATTGAACAGCCATTCATTCCACTGCAGGGCACAGGCCTCTCTCAATTCACTACTGGGAGGTCATATGGCAGTGCCACCTTTGCCTGATTGGATGTCCTTCCTAATCAACCGCGGATCGACGCACTAACACTTGTGCCACGACGGCGATTTCCCCTACGACACCTGCGTTTGACTTCTCAAGGCGATATATCGTTTTCTCGCCGTGAGATCGGGCTCAAGCCAGCAGTCGGGGCACAGGCATTTTTACGACTGCCGCGACGGGGAATTGAATTCGGGAGTCCAGTGCTCTGGACTATTGCGGCATTTGAATATATATGTATATACATATCCATGTGTTTAATTGAATGTGTGTGCTCGTGTATGTGTATACGTATATGTGAGTATGTACGTAGAATGTATGTGTGTGTTCGTATTTACATATATATATCCATCTCTACCTACAAGCATAAATACATACATACATCGACGGCCACCTTCAGTCGATGTCGACTATTGTATTGTCTCTATTGTCAATGCCTGGGCGAAAGAATGTGAAGAGCAAGCTGTTACCCATGAATACATACATACACATACATACATACATACATTCATACACATATATATATATATATATATGTGTGTGTTTGTATATGCATGTGTATGAGTGTATGTGGATGTGTGTCCACACACACAT